TTTCATCATTTCAGACCTACCAAGATCAGAAATCTGCAACTTGTGTGAAACATGAAGGAAACTTTGATGGAGTAAAAGTCTCAGTTGTTGAAACTCCAGGCTGGTTCTCAGACCCAACACCACCTGACTGGATCAAAGATGAAGTTCTCCACAGTGTCTCCATGTGTTCTCCTGGACCTCATGTTTTTCTCCTGCTTGTTCCCATCCTCAGATCTTTCACAGAGAAAGATCTCAAAGCTCTGCTGGAGATCATGAAGCCATTAACAGAGAGAGTGTGGAGACACTGCATGGTTCTGTTTACCTGGGGAGACTGGCTGGTAGTTTTTAGCTATGGAGACTGGATCAATGACCTCCCTGTAGAAAATTACATCATCAGTGAGGGAATGGAGCTCCAGGAGCTTCTGGAGAAATGTGGGAACAGATACCATGTTATAAACCCCTTTAATTCTGATTACTCTGCTGAAGTCAGAGTTGTTCCAAAAAACTATTGACTTGGTAAAACAAAACAAAGGATACTTCATTCTTAAAGCCAAAGAAACGAAACTTCAGATTTTACCTTGGCAAAGAAAACAGATAGAAGACGGATGGAACAGGAGAGAACAGGACCTGATAGAGCGAATGATGAAAGCTTTAGGAAAGGAACCAGAGGAATCAACAGTGCCTCATGTGAGAACGGCATGGAGCAAAGATCAAAATCCTGACAGTAAGTTTTACATAATAATTAATTAATGTTTAAGTTTATAGTCTTTGTTACATGCTTTGTCTTAATTATATCTATTTTTCCCTTGAATAACTCTTTAATTTCTGTTTCAGTGAGTGGAGATGTTGCCTCAGAATATGGGAGCATTTCAGAGAACAGGAGACGACGAGGACATGACCAAGTAGCTGAATGGCTGAATAACAAAGTGAGAGAGTCAGAGATCAGCTCTGGGATCGGCAGCATTTGTTCCTCAAACACTTACATGGAAAACTTTCATGAAAATTCTTAAATAAATTAAAGACGACATGCACATTCAAGAGTAGAACACCTCTCTTATGGGTTTGTAAAAAAAAAGAAAAGAAAAATTTTTAAACTAGTCAATAATAAAAAGTATGTAAGCCTGTTTTTGCCACTCTGATGAAAAAAATCTCATTATAATGAGATATATTTTTAGATACTATCTCATTATATTGAAATAATTTTTTAACAAAGTGGTGGAAACAGGCTCCTGTAAAAATTTATGCTGACACTAATGTCCAAAAATGTTAAAATTTTTATTTTTCTGGTATATCAACATTTTAGACATTTCAATAAATATTAATACTTAAACAATATAAATAGTTTTCATCATCCTGATATAGATTTTGTTCTAGTTTTGTTCCTTTGACATAGCTTAAAATTTATAAGGGTTTATTTTGTCTTTTTTTTTTTAAACTTGGAGTTTGTCTATGATTGGATACGTAAAAGTATTACTTCTCATTTAGCAGAAAAGCTACAGTGCCTTGCTTTTCAAGAGTAAGGTTCAACCTTTTAGAAGATTCCTTTTTTTTTTTTAAATGAACTTTTTCAAAGGTGTTGTGCAAAGCTTGAAACATTAATTTTAAGAAGTTTATTGTACCTCGGCATTAGATCATTAAAGGGTTAAATTTCTTGGGCTTTTTAAACAAAGCAGGATGGAAGAGCTGATTCTGAGATTAACTTTAGCGTTAAGATGTTTCCATCTGCTTGAGTTTGGAGTGAGTTTATCTAAGAAAAAAATGCAGGTTTGAATTTGTAATTGTGAATCACTCTTAATATAGTCAATGACATCATGAGTTATGTAAAGAACAGATTTGATGTCAGGTATCTTTTTTGGTTTGATACCATCTCTTAAAACTGAAATGAAAGTAATTATTTGTAATTAGGGAACTGAGTTGCATTCACTATAAGTTATAAACTAACACAGGTGATTTGTTTTAGTTTATCTCCAGATGTGACACTTTTGACTTCCCATTTACTCCAGCAGGTCAATCCAGATTAAATTCAAATTTCAGCTGGCAGAGAAAGTCTTTTTAGTTAGAAATACAGTTGACACTTTTAAGTCAGAGAATTAAAACTCTTGACATTAAATTGTGTTTGAAAGTATTTTAGATAACAGTTTTATATATGCTGTTTTTGCCAACACCTCATAATGTGCTAAGTTTATTGTTCTATATTCTCGGCTGGATCAACAACAGATTTGAGAAGGTTTCTAGACTTTTTGCTTTACTTCTAAACAGACTGTGCCCCTTTAATATTAAATAAAATCTATCCAGAAACAACATCATCCACTTCATTATTTTAGAAAGTTTTTACCGGATCTGTGGCCATTATTTGAGAATGGTCAGCCTATAAAGTAGGCAATGAGAGTGTCATGTGGTGGTGAGAACAAACGCGGACAGGACCCAGGATGAAGACGAATTGATGATTTAATAAGTGATCCAGAGAACAGAACAGGCAGCACGACGAACACAGGGAAATGGGCTCTTTGCACCTCAGCTTCCGCCTTCGGGGAAAAGCGGCTCGATTGTTTCCGATCCAATAAAAATATAATTTTACACTAGGGCTTGGCCAAGGTTTGTACATCGATCCGAAGCCCCAACAAGTCAGCTGGAGAAAGGTTTGAGATGTACGCCTCGTTATACATTCACTGATATGAAGGTGAGTTTTACTTAAACTTTGTGGCTAACATTAACCTTAGCTTATGCTAGTAGGCAATATTCTCGGACATTGTTCTTGTAAAATGTGCTATTTAAGTATCTAAACATTCTAACGGACAATGTATTTATCTTATTTTCAAGTATATTATGTGTGTTTATTGTCGTTAGTGTCACAGACTAGGGGAGGTTACGGTTCGGACTTTTTACTTCCGAAGCCTGACGGAGCTACACAAGCCTCATAGCTTGACAGTAGCGCAGCTCTGGTGTCAGAGATCTGGTTCAGCTGTTCAGGTTCAAAGTTGCTGCTTTTAGAAAAATTTGACGGTGTTGCTTCATGTCTCCGTGTTATTTCGTTTTATTACCTTTGCAAGTTTCTTGTGAAGAGCTCAGATAAGATGGTGTTTACAGCAGTATGTACAGGCGGATCAGTTGCTCGGCTGTCTGGCTCTGGTCTGCTCTCTCGTTCCCATACACTCGCTTTTTGAGGCTGAATACAGAAGTGATTCCATGGAAATAACTCAGGGAGGCTCCTTTATTTACCATCCGTATCCCTGGTAGTTTTAGGCTGATCCGGAGTGAAGTGAAGGTTGCAAACTTTGTGTTGTGCAGCGTTAGCTTTAACTGGTAGTGACAGATATTTACAAGCCATCTTCTTAATTCAGGATCGCTTGGAAATTAATGAAAACTTAAAAGCCCATTATATTAGGAAGACAACAATGTTCATAGTATTGCGTTTTTTGCATCTGAAATAGTCTTTTCTACCAGTCATGGTAACTCAAAGCGGAAACAAGTGAGCCGCATTAGCTCCTGGAGATGTGACGTCAACACCGTAGGTGCAAAGAGCCCACTGGCTGGTACACACAACGACTATCCGATACAACAGGTGGACTTAAATACACAGGGAGGATAATCAAGGAATGAGACACACATTGGAAGAAATCAACGGGGAAGACGCAGAGACTCACAGAAAGTAAACTGAACACAGAAAACCCTAAAAATAAATACACAGAAACACGGATCATGACAGTACCTCCCCTCCCTCAAGGGCGGCTACCAGACGCCCACAAAAAAGAAACAGTCCAAGAAACAAAAGCAACCCATCAGGGTGGGCGGAGGGGAGACGGAAGGAGGGCCAAAGTCCAGAACAAAAAAACTACCAATCAGGGTGGGTGGAGAACCAGGAGGCGAACCCCTCGTTGGGGGTCCGGCGGGCGTTGCCGGCGCAGGAAGCGGAGTCCTGTTGATAAGGAAAACAGCAGATCCTCACACCCTCAGCATGCTAATGTAGCTGTGGACAAGATCACTGATGCCTATTGTTCTTGCAAGGC